ACCCGTCCCAGGGAGCTTAACGGTGATGTCGACGCTTCCAGCATCCGCAGCCTCCGGGCTTCGACTCCTCCGGCAGCCCCCGGGATATATCCTCGACGTCACAGCACGCCGGAGAACCCGATAACGGATATAACGATGAGAACTCCTCCCTCGCGAGTTGGGCGTACCACGCCCAGTCATCCCTCCGCGGTCCCTCCGGGTTCCCCTCCGAGGAGCTCTCGGGCTCTCTTTACACGAGGAGTCCTCGTCTAGGAGGCGGAGCCTTGGCGACCTCTATTTCTAGCCGTAGTTCGCGCCTGGTTAAACGGCGCTCGGTTGGTAAGACAGACTCTGCTTGGCTATATATATATATATATATATATATATATATATATAACAAACGTTACGCAGCTATAGACGCTGCCAGAGGAGAAGGTCGAGGAGGTAAAATGGATAAAGAGAGAAAGACAGAAATTTCTACAGTACACGCGCACGCATATACACCTACATCCTATACGGAGCAGGTGCGTGTGGAATCCGAGGCACATTCGTACAACGTATACGACGTCGAGCGAAAGCCGCGTGTATATATATATATACACACACAAAGCGCATAGCCCATAGAAAGCCAGAGCTCCGCCTAGTCCGTTAAGTTGCTCAAACCAGAAGAGAGGACGGTTATTTGACTCCTTATGCGGAACCGCCAATGCAGCGGCTGCAATTGCCCCCCACTTCGCTAGCTGGGCATAGAAGAGCGAGCGGGCTTTAACGCTCTTGCAGTTGCATTTGTTCTCTGAGTAACAGCCCGATAAATCGAGCTCCACCCTATACCCCCCATGCTCCACCACCGCCAACCTGGCAGACGTTACCAAAGAGCCATGGTAGCCAACGAGCGAAGATAAAAAAACATGCCTGTCGACTCCTGTGCGCCTTTGGCTTCCTTGCCAATTGCACTCCACCCACCCGCCCACCAATTCTCACCCGCTGCTTATTATTTCTCATCCGGCCAAACGAACTCGGGTCAGGTTGTGGTAACGCTGACTTCCCCGTATAATCGGCGGGTAATACCTGGTCTCGGGTTCGCACGGTTAAGACAGGTAGCCCCCGGCGTATATTAGGCCGCCCTTTATATACGAGTTGGGACAAGATCCGACGTGTAATGGCGTGGAGGGTGATATCGTTTTCTAAATGGTTATACATATATATAGTATTTTTACTTGGACAAGGAAGTAGAGAAAAAATATAGTTTTACGTATGCGCGATATGCATAGAGTTATTCTGTAGAAACCACCTGAAGTAGCGCGACAGTTTGTGTCTTATGGAAAAACCATGTTCGGATGGTGCGTTTGGGCTGAATAACCTGGTATATATGTATAAGCTGAAACAAGAGTATTGAAGAAAATCGAGAAATCGCATTGGAGCATGGGTATTTGAAAATTTCCCGATAACCATTGGCGTAGGCACTCGAGCGCGATATTATACCGTTGGATATTAGCGGGAGATATACCCATAGGCGGCTGACCCAAATTACCGTGCCAATTTCGAATTGTATTTTTTTTTAAATTAACAAACGACAAAGAGTGCGCCACCGTTGATATATGTATATATATATATATACATATATATGAACGGGGGGTAAACAGTGGTGCACGCGGAATGCGCGACGCATCTCGTGAAATGCATACGTTTGTATTCCGCGATGATATTGTAACAACGGGTGTATACGTGTATATATATATATATATATATGTATGATATGTGACCATTCACGTGGTTGCAACCAATTTACCAATCACTCTCGTGGAACAATAAAGCATAACGGTGGAAAAAAAATTTCACGTCAAAAGTATCACGTTTCCATATACCCGGTAGCTGATGGCGATATGGATTGTAGGAGGCAATATCTATCTGGTCAACATTGCCAACGTATTACAGCCGCGTATGAGAATACAAGAGTGCAGTCTCGTTTAGGTTGGTATTACAGGTTGAAATGGGGATCCCACGATCTACGGGGTGTCCTAAAAGTAGGAAATACAGTATGATCATATGGGGTGGTATGGGAGTAAATTTTTTTTACATATGCAACGTACCGTTAATATCTGTAGTTTTGTCTCTCCCAGTCGTTAGGATACGTATATGATAATTCAGCGGATGCTGCGAATGGACCATTTTGTAACTCGATCATTTATTTTCACGTGTAATTCTATCGTTTCGACGGTACCTTGTTAAATGGATTATAACGGGAATAGCGTGTTACGGGAATTTACGTATGAGCGAGATGCATCTCCTGACAGGGGGATGAGGGGGTCCTTATCAATTTTTTTTCGAATGATTACATTTTCGAATTATTATTTTCGTCGATAATTATGGTCTTAACTTTTCTTACGACGGTGTTTTAATTAACGTAGTATGGAGGGATATATGGTATTATTATTATTATACGTCCATAGCTATTAATTAAACGTTCTGAGAATATGACATAGGTATTTCCCGTTTAAACGTTCACGTAACCGTCGGGACGTCCCGTCCTCATTGGTATTCTTAGGGCGTCCGCGCACCGTCCTCGATTTACTATCACGTCGTACAAATTATTTGCTAATCAAATTTCAGCCCTCGGCTGCCCGGCCGCAGTCCTCGCGCCACTCGGAAAATCCGTGGAATCACTTTTACGATGATTTCTCTATTTTACGGTTAAGTCGCGAGGGGCGCAGCCAAGCGCCCGTAACGCCGGAAACGAGCAGAGCGACGAGAGCGGTATTCCGTGGGAGAAAATTTTTGAATTGTGCAGTCGAAAAAAAAATCCTGAATCAAAAAAAAAATGCGAGCAAATCCCGCCCCTAAAAAAATCGGAAAATAAAAATCTTTCGAAATTATTTTCACGTAAATAAAAGTCAACAGGGCGACCCAAGGAAATCCATATTCGGGGAAAAATCGGTGTCGAATGCGAATCGAGTATACGAAGCGCGAAGAAAATTGCGTAAAGGCCATCGCACGGTACCTCGCACGTTCGACGTGCGAGGAAAGGTGGGCTCGGACTTGGTAAAATAAATTTGACAATATATACGTTAATCCGCATTGGTCGAAAGGGCCCGCAAGCTGGACTGTACATAAAACGAGTACACGTGCGAGCATGTGTCAACGATATGCGAGAATAACATACGCAACACACGGCAATACATACCGCAGGGCACGAGTCGGCCTACGGGGGTGTCCCGTTGGCCCGTTTCAATGTTTTGCGACGAGTTTATTCGAGTTATCAATTTCCTGACAAATATCTGCATTTCCGCGGCCGTACGCCCGTTCGTATTCGCACACGATGACGCAACGTGCCACGTATGACACAGCACGCGGGCACTACGACTTCCACGGGAAAGCCGGGCTCGGTTTCCCACGAAGGTACAGGTATCGACTAAATCCCTAGCATATTACATTCCGATGGCGAACTGGTGGTTTTTAACGTTTTTCAAATTTAACTCAGCCACGCATTTTTCTTTTTTACAATTTCAAGTAAACCACGTCACGTCTCGTAGGCGATGCTTATGCGCGGGTACGAGGAATTCGTCGTGGAATTACGTGCGACGAAGGAGTCGCTTGATATTTTGGCAAATATATTATTTTTCGAATAAAGCCAGGAGGCGGTGTCGCCGTGGTTTTGTAGGACGTCAAACGACGTCGGGAGCGTCAGTTCGCAGCGACGCCACGCGTCGATGACTCTACGTGCTCGTTTACGAGACTCGGCGCGCCGTTTGAAGCGTTGCGCGCCAGACTGGCCAATTAGTTTGGCAAAAGAGCACGCGGACACCGGTACGGGACGTTGCGTGTAGTGGACATTCAAAAGGTCGTAGGTCAATGCTTAAACGTTGTTTTCATTACGTTACTATCGTAGCTATGATATATGATTAGATATATATATGTATACATAGAGATGTACTCTTGGTATGCCTATGAAGATTTTTGAGAGACGCGTATAAGGACAGTGAAAATTATTTTTCAAAAAAAAAAAAATTCGTCCTCGTCCCGAAGGTTGGTCCTTCTTTTTTTTTTTTGACAATCAAAGGAAAATTAGCCGACCGCTTGCCAAGGGGTCAGATGACTGTAGCGTTTTATACTTTCCTCGAGGAAATTAAATGGATGGGCACAGAGAGACAGAGAGAGCGAGAATGAGAAATGGCAGAGAAAAAGAAGAGGGAAAGCTGGTGCTTTGGTTTCAGCAGGGTGAGAATGGTAGGGACGCGTATTAGAGAAAAGTATGAAGCAACAAAGAGAGAAGGAAGAATGAGCATCTAGAGAGCGTTGAGAGAGGATAGAAAGAGAGAGAGAGAGTAACAGACAGAGGTACCGGGTGAGAAAAATGAATGGCTTCATCTTTCCGTAATTAAGACACAAGGCCGGAAAATAAACAAACCGTCCGGCACGGCACGGGTATTCCGGCACTGAGGTTGCAGCGGCGCAGCTGTTACGTCGCGGGATTCAAATAAACGAGTTAGGTGGATTAAGCACAGAAATCCGAGTCTTTCTCGTGGTCCACGTATAACGTTTCTTAACTACTGTCCATCCATCCCTGCTCTGGACCACTTATCCAAACATGATCTATCGATAAGACTGCCGAGGATTCCTCTTAGAGTACAATGGGCTTTTGCCTGCCACGGTTATTATTTTTAAATCCATTATCGGTCAATTTGACAGTATATAAATTATCTAAAAAAAAAAAGACCAAATTTTATTTTGCATCCGTTCTCTCAAAAATCTTCAATTTTTTTTTTTTTCTAAAAAATTTTTACATCCGCTTCCCAATAAAAACTCACGTCTATACGGTCGGCCTTCCTCCGGGGTAGAGCGTTCGGTGTTCTCGGAGCCGGGGGTGGCGTTGGCGTCCCTATCCTCTTCCTCGGGAGTAGCACCGCGATTTCCAACACCTGATCCAGGCCCGGTACCGGGCGGCGACCTGCTGGTCGAGCCAGCTGGACTCTGAGGCGCAGCTTCCGGTCCTCCCGTACCGGGCACTCCGCCGCCTACGCCACCGGAAGGCAAAGACGGCGAGAACATGTTCGACATGCTCGAGAGTGAACCGATGCTGGCCAATCCCGAGGACACCGTCGTGTTTCCGGTTTCGACCTTGAGGCACTTGCTGGGGGGCGCGAAGGCCGACGGGCCCAGTGGCCTGAATGCACTGAACGGTAGCCGTGGGTCCAGGGGATGGAGAAATTGATGTGGCAGATGGAGCATGTGATGAAGTCCGTAACCCAGGGATGCTGCGGTACTGAACGGTACCTGAAGTTCCTTGGAATCTGCAACCTTGGATTAAAGGAAAATTTTTCAAATTTATTATAAATCCTCGATATCGGCTAAGGCCCATTTTAAAATAATAGAGCAAAACAGCCGGATAATGTAAAATCATTAAAATCAATTATCGTCTATCGAGCTCGTTATCGATACTTGGATCGATCGTTGATAAAAAATTCGATATACATCGATTCGAGATTATTTACACTGTACGATCATCGGATACTGGATATTAATGATATTATAATATATTCCAACGTTATTTAATACCTCGCCGATTTTCAATGTAAACACCGCGACATGAGCCGCGACATTAAATACTCTCGCGACAGTCTCGACGTCAAAGTTAATTTTTAAAAATGCCAATTAACCTAACCTAACCTGAAAGTGACCAAAGACGGAAGTCAAAATAAAATTCAGCAAATCTCCAAAGTATCACAGCCCGTTAAATGTCACGCTACCGTATCTCGTAATTGACCAATACCAAACTACCCCTGTCCCGTGCATCCCTTGCTACCGCAAACACCCTAAACGTAATACGAAATGAGATACTGATCGATGGACCAGAATTTACCATGACCCGTTAACAACCCCCCTCCCGCCCGTTAATACCAAAATCAGTATACCCTATAGGGGCAGGTTTACCTGAAAGATAAAAATTTTCTTAGGATTTTGACAAGATCATAAATTGCCAAATTTTCAATTAAAAATCTACCACAGTGATAAGGAAAAATTTTTCAAAATTTTTTTTTTTTCACACGTCACAATCGATGCGAGCGCGTAAACCGTCCGTAGCGATTAAACACAGGCGCGACTGACGAATGATTTGCCAATGAATTTTTCATTCGTCGATTGATCGTAGGTATCGATCGGTTTGATGCGATCGTCGAAAAGTACGATTAGTTTATTATTCTTTTAAAACGAGGAAATGAGTTTTAGGTTTACACACACGTATTTCTAGCCCCGATTTCAATCAGCGATTTATTAGGTATTCATTATTATTTTAATTAGGACCGACGAGCCAACCAACCCCCTAACCCCCTGCTTCACCCCTCTCCCGTCCACTTTTATCACATCGACCAATCATCCAGTCGTTTACCTATTTATAATACACTCTGTCAGGACAACCGCTACAGTGCCTTCCGTTTGGTCATTTTCTATGAAAAGTATATATATATATATAGTATGTATGCATTTTTTAAATTAACAATTTGTCATCATTTTGACAAACCGAATCAGGTCCGAGACGTCGTTACGTTTGAAATAAATTTTTTTTTTATATCTGACGTATCACTGATTAATAATAATAACGTGCGCTGAATCTTTTTCAAATTTAGAAAATTCCGATTTTATTTGACTTCCGGTCTGTTATCACTCGACACTGTTAGCACTGGCTGTACCGTCGAAAAGTACGGTCTGCTTTCGATCGTTGATTAGTAAAATATCTGTGAACGATAAGGAACATACCAGATCCTCAGTCACGTTGAAATCAATGTTTATAAATTTCTATTATTTTTTTATTAAAAATCATTAAGGCTGCTGTATTCTATTTTTTTTTTAATTTTACATAAATTCAAAAATCACACGTGTACCTGATTATTCTTGGAATATTAATCCGTAAACGTGCTATACTTACAATAAAGTTTCCTTTTGTCATTGACTTGGATTTTTACGATCTAGCCTAAAATAGTACAGTTACTACTAATCTACTATAGTTGCATGCAGGAAGTGAAGAGACAATGAAAGATTCTTAAATTGTACAGGCTGGTGCTTATGAAAAACTACATAATAAATAAATGACGGGATTACAGTTTAATTGGAGAAAATGGAAGTCGAGTTTTGAGATTTTTTTAGATAAAAAAAATGTATGTAAAATATTTGAGTCGTTAAAGATAAAGAGCTAATTGACAATTATTGTTGCACATAAGGAAGCAGGTAAGCAGAGACCTGACGGTTTCATGCGTTTCACAAATGGACTGTGTACGATATATGTGTATGCTTAAGCCATAAGTTTAAAAGGAATGACAACTAACTTGTGGATTGAAGGGTCTTTGCATTCTCAGGGCCTCGGGGAGACCCCCGCCCTGGGAAAACACGACCAAGGATGGTGGCGGAAGGTGATTCGGCACGTACGCTGAATTGTCCATCTAGAACAAATCGGGCTTGCTTCTTCTTATCCGTTCTTTCCTTAACTTTTCTCTCTCAAATCGAATTCGAGTAAGAATCGACCGAACCGCCCGTCGGAGATCGAAAACTTTCGACAGATCGAGAAGTGCAGTGAATACGAAGTATCGACAAGAACGAAACAAAGGGGTTTAACCGTTATTCAAGTGCGTGTAAGTTATACGTAAAAATTTCAAGTTTGAAATGTTATTGTCTAATAGACAAAAAATATATATCGTTAAGATGATCTTGTGATAAAAAATGATTCGTCAATGCAAATATACTATGCGTGTAAATGACATTGAAATTTCTGTAAATAGATCCATTCGTAATTGAGTATGGCGGTGGCGGCGGCGACGGCATCGTTGCGACAAAGCCTTGATATGCGGAATTCGCTTTGAATTCAGGATGAATCAAAGAAAGCCCTCGAGTTGGAAAGGCGGCGTAATTTGAGCGAACGATCGATCGACAATCGAATAAATGGCATTAGCCGGATACACGAAACCGAATTGCGTGGGCGAACGTAAAACCGCAACGGTCACAGCGGCCGCACCGCGATACATCATATTACGTCGAAATCAAAATCAAATCGATTTTACATATTCATCGACAGCTCGTCGCGGTTTCATGTAATTGTCGAGAGTTCTCGAAATCGTTTTCGTCTCTTCCTCATTAATTACCGTGATAAAAGGGATCGTCGAGATCGATCGTACGAATCGACGTAAAAAGCAAAACCTTCGGACAACTAATTCACCGTAAATCAGCCCAAGAATTCATGACGATCCTCAGAAAGGTAATTTTCAAAGTTAACAAACGATCGCGTGAAATTCAAAATAATTTTGCTTCTCTTCATTGGAACTTCGATCATCGAACGCGAACACAGAAATGGCATTCGCGACAATTTTCACCGTCACTGTACAATAGTGTCTTCAAAATGACGATTCCGTAAGAAACATCATGATTAAACTGAACGAAAAATACGTCACAGTAATAAACACGAGCGATGAGAACAGCTGTCACACGCGTACCGTTAAAAGTGTCAAATTCCTTTCCAACATTCTCTACGTGAAACACTCGACTGTAGGAGAAAAATTTCTTTAAAGATTACAATAAAGTAACGTTAATATTATTAAAAAAACGTGAATAAGAAAAATTCTTTAATTGGATCTGTCAAAAGTCCTAGATCACTCAGAGCACCTCGGCGCGCCGCGAACGAGTTCAAATTCAAACGGATGCCGGGGTCCCGCGTCTCTCGACCTAACCTCTCCGGCGTGGACGCGGTCGGTACCTCGGCTAGGCAGTAATCGGCGGCCTCATGAGACCTCCACGGGAGCTGAGAGCGTGAGCCAGGTGTGCGGGAGTGTACGGGTGCGAGAGGAAGCCAGCCCGTGAGCTACCTCGTGGACATGCGAGTGCAGACTGATTGGAACGTGGAGTGAGGGTACTTACCCACGACCCACGGCGGCGGTGGAGGCGGCAGCGAGCTCCGGCTGGTGGCGTGCGCGCGTGTTTCTCTCATGGCGGGCATCCACTGAAGTTCGGGTACTGCGCATGCGCGAAAATTACGAGTCTAGGGCGCCTTCGAGACAAGTTGTCGCGAGCCGAATGATTCCGATAGAGTTTTCAAGTTATAACTGGATTACGTACTTTTTCGAGACGACTGGATAATGCGAGAAGAAGGCACGAGTGTTTGGGAAGGGTTTCATATAACTTTCAAGACAACTTAAGAGGCGGGCAAAATGTTTACGATGGAAATATTACTTTGTTTGGGCTGTGCGCGCTTCGTGGTCGAGCTATACCACGTTCTTGCTAACTTTCCAGTGGTGCATGCGCCGACGGAGAGTTTAGGAACGCGCAACTTTGACTGAGTAAACGCGGCTGAAGCTGGAACGAATGGATGCAACGTGTAAAGCAGGTACTGCCAGGTTTGGTTGGAATTTAAAAGAAATTTTTTTAGTGGATGTCATGTATGTTTGAAAAGATATTTAATTTGGAGGTTTTACCAGGTATGACTTTCTGGATCTGTCTCTTTGAAGGTTTCTTGCAATTTTTTTATGTATTACTGGGCTTGCTTTACTGCGAAATTCCATAAGCCGATAATAATCCTGCTTGGAACGTTTTGCTTGTAAAGCAGTGAAGAGAATGTTTTGTGATCGACGAGTACGACGCGTTGTACTCATTGCAATTTCTCCGACTGGCATTTCCAACGTCTCAAGATGGATTTATCGCCGGGCGATAAATAGCAAAACTTCGTATACGTTGTTTATCCCAAGAGACGCGAGAGGGTAGGAATAATATAGATGAGCGAGAAAAAGTGGAATAAGGTTTTCAGTTAAATTCTTTGGGTTTTATCCCGACGATAATATCCAAGCAAGGCTTTTGCGCACGGATGATTCGTAGAATTCGTGTAGTTCGACTGAGAATTTACGATGGAAATAATCTTAGCTTCCGAGAGTAACTTTCTCCGATATTGACGATCCAGTAAAATGAGAAGCCATTAAAGACTTCTCCCTCTCATCGTCGTATTGTACGTTGTTACGTATCTGTTATACTGCCTTAACATTTTGTATTTTAGAACCGACATGACTTTTCTATGATGAGATAAGAACAGGCTGTACCGTATATATATACCAAGCGATACTCATTTGACTGGCACGGTAACGCGAAGAAGACGTATATAAAAAGATACGGCCATTATTGAAGTACCGCAAGTTTTACCTTGTAGCTTTTCTGATTTTTTCTTCAATTAATCGCATTCCGTGGAAGTAAATAATATACGATGTACAGCACCTGAATAATGAATGTAAAAATATAGAGTATCAGTTTATAGCGTGAAGGAATCTGACCGTTTGCTTTTATTGAATAATTATTTTTTTCTTTATAACCAACATTTCTAATATTTGCAAATTACCTCATTAGGTAATTAGCAAGAATCGAGTGGAAATTGAATAGAGTTTTAAGGGTGTTACTGGGTTCAAGTTGATATCTATACCTTTGTGTGATGCTATAGGAAAATCAAGGGTCCTGGATGTCGCACGGATCGCATAGTTCACCACTATGGTATAAGCTGTATTATATATTGAAGACCCATACCATCAACTATTAATTACTGTTGCCACTATGGTTGGCTTAACTATTTTCGCCATTGGGTCTATTAGCCGTATCACCCTTATAATGTTTGACTAACGAGGGATGGACCTTATAGTCCGACTAGTCCTATATTGAGCATGTAATAAGTAAACTGTGTCAAGTTTCTTCAGGAATTATTGATCACACTATAGATGATTATGGATAGTAACTGTTACTGGATGATTACAAATTACTAACTTGAGGTCTATTTATAGGAAAAAAAAATTGCGGTAAAGATGTTTTTTTTGGTTCAATGAAGAATATTTCAGGGACTATTTTTTTGGAGGTTTGTTAAATTTTAATTTTCCATTTACTAACTGGAGTTTGCTTGAATGCCTTATGGTGAATCTTGTACTTGTTATTATAAAACCGGTATGAGGTAGAATTCATTGCGGTGTAATTCTAGAAACTCTGTTGTACAACATTGGAGAAACTGCAGCAGAATGTACTGCGATCGTTGAACAAGCTTTTGGAATTTGGAATACATTCACTGCCATCTAGTGGATTTAACAAGAGATATGAATTAAGTATAACTGGTAGATGTGACAGGTCCTAACTTATATTGAACATCTTATGCAATCTTATGACAAAATAAGGGGTACAAATCAAAATTGAATAAATGATAGAAAATAAATAATTTCCTTATACTTATAGTAGCATTTCCAATGAACACAATATGAGACAATTTTCATCTGACCATCTTTCTCAAGGATTTATTACATGTACAATAAGTCTGGTGCTCGCTGAGTAGTGTATAAATATGATTTGAATTGGTATCAATTAATTATTCTAAGTAATTGCTACATATGTACTTCTCTATGTACAGTATTTATAATCCATCCGAGTTCTCAAAGTTTCTCAAATAATATTAAATAGAAAAAAACCTTCTTTCCGGTGAATATGAAATTCTCAAACTTTACAGTCTTAACAATATCAATATTGTATAAGATTAAAAATTGCATCAACATTTTCTTTTTCAGATTCTTCCTGGGGTACAGGCTGAGTGGTGTCCTGTGCTAAAAGTACTTGCTCTATTAATATAGTATGCGTTCCATTGGGATTATCTTCTATAATAATAATTTCATCTTTTGGTTCTTCCGGTGGCTTTTCGATCTTCTTCTTTGGGTTTCGCTTTCGTTTTGTTTTTGAACCCTCATTGTGTATACTCATGTGACGTCTTAACTCGTACTTGCCAACAAAACCAGCATTACAAATTTCACAGCCAAATGGTTTTCCACCAGCGTGAGTCCACATATGGCGACGCAATGCAGCACTGAATGTGAAGGCTACACCACATACGGTACAAACATATGGTTTTTCACCTGTATGAAGTAAACTGTGGTCTCTTAGGGTGGCCCTTTGGTTAAATCTTTTCCCACATACCTCACACGTATAACTACGAGGATTAGAGTGAATTCTCATATGATTCTGAAGATTTCCTTGCTGTGAAAATGATCTCCCACATACGTCACATTTGAATGGTTTTTCACCAGTATGAACACGCATGTGAATTTCCAGTGTGCGTCTATTCGGAAAGCGTTTTCCACAGACTTCACAGGGATACTTGGGTAAATGTAAACCCTGAGGATCCAGATGGGTGATCAAGTGACGTTTGTAATTGCCTTTGTGGTTAAATACACGGGTACACTGGCTGCATGCGTATGGAGCACCATGGATGTGAGTCGTTACATGTGATTCCAGTTCAGATTTGACCTTAAATCTGAGACCACACTTGGGGCAGCGATGTCTTGGGAAGTCTGTGTGACAGACCATATGTCTTTTAAGATATCGTTTCATTGAGTAAGATTTCTTGCAGATGAAACACGTGTATGGTAGACGACCAGTGTGCGTTTTCACATGAGCTCGTAGCTTCCTATGACTTTCTAGATCCATTTCACAAACCATACAGAAAAATGGTCCACCTGCTGGTACATGATTGTCTACCATATGAATGAGCACTCCAGTTATTTGATCATAGTTTTGCATACAGAGCGTGCACTGGTATTCGATGATATCATCGTTCACTTTTATCTCCTTGATTCTCATAATGGTGTCTGTCACACTGCCTAGTATATTATCTCTGGGATCCGCAAAGTAGTCAGAGTCTTCATCATCATCATCGTTCTGTATACTTTGATCTACTGATTTTTGTTTCTGAGAAGTTGAGGCTTCGACATTATCCACTGTGGTGTTTTCTTCCTTGATGTTCGTCTTGCAAATTGAAGTTTTCCAGCACTTCTTTTCTGTATTAACTGTCACATGACTATCAGAATCTTCGATACTTAAGGATTCTGAGCCTTTGTTGGTCTTTTCAGCAGTGATTATATCTTCCGAGGGGCAATTAGTTATGAAACTATCATGGTTACTGGACTCATTGGCTTTTTCTTCACTGATGAATATATTTTGCCCACCTGTTTGTACTAGTGGGTCCATCTCGTTTTCAGGTATGTACATTATTGTATAATTTAAATCTTGGGATTCAAACATATTTGTAATTGCATCAGGTACTTCGGTTTTAACAATGGTATTGGCTTGTGTTGCAATTTGCTGTATGTCCCGAATAAATATGTGATTGAAATCATTTGGCTCATATGCTTTTTCTGTGTCTACTGAAGCATCTTCCAGATATTCAGTGCCTTCGTCTATGTCTTCATCCGTAAGGTTTCCACTCTCACAAGTTTTTACAGTTCCATTAAAAGCTTCATGTAAGGCAATTCCATTTTCTGTTTCCTCAGTCAAACTATTCCTACTGCTTAAATTTTGTGATTCATACTGCAGATCATTATCCACATATTCATTAGCATTTTCATATAACTCAACTTGCTCATTTCCCTCCTCTATTACTTCCTCCTAAAAAATATATAATATAGGTATATATTGTTAATGCTTAACAATACATATAAGATAGATACATATATAAACATATCCTTATATCTTATTTACCTTAATCACAGGACATAAATCTATTTGAAACATTTCTCTCAATCTTCTCTCCGTAGCTTGAACTTGTCGTTTGAAGTCATAAAATGCATCTGTTCTGTATGCGCACTTGGCACACAGCATATTTGGTAAGCCATCAAATTTATCAATCTAAGGAAAAGACAATTAGGTTTTAAAATTAACCAAATGACTATGACTAACAAAAATATATGCCACGAGTTCATAGATTTTATGTACTGTAAATATAAGCTTCGTAGACAACTCAATGTAATGAATCACAATTACATAGGTTATAATATGAAAATTAAATTTGTTTTCCAACTACATGTACAAAAACACTCCAAATTAACTAAATATAATTTGAACAATGCGAAAGAATCCGCCAAGCAACTCACCTTTACCGAAGTAAGCTCGGCCAATTTATCAGGCAATTTTTTCTTACTGATTATCTCGTCGCCATACATGGGCAACAGAACGCCGTCGACTTTCATACAAGCGCGGCACATATCCGCATAACTTATTTCCCAACTCATTATTATCGGAGTTCTGCTTTATCAAAACGGTTGACACTATATCATCTCTTTTTTGAGAGGCAAGTAAATAGAAACATTTCACATTTCCTTGTTGGTCGACACACGTCACACCTGTCAAGCGCGGTAACCGCAAGCGATATAGCTGGTTTTATATACTTATATATAGTTTAGTCTGAGACCAGAGATGAATAGGGAGGTGCACAACGCTAAGGTTTTAGGCGATACCAAAAACAAGGCGCTAAATCGTAGTGGCGAGTCCAGGAGTAGGATTTTGTGATCATCGCGTCCGTCGATAAGGCATATCCCGTCATAGCCGAGCTGAACGTGATCACGAACGTGTAGCCTGGGACGGTCGGGAAGTTAGCGCGGAAGAATCAAAATTTGTATATTTATAATGCCTAAAAAATTGCTCCTTAAATGCTCCATATGTTTCCGTAATTGCTCCGCTGCTACTATGCAGTGATTAATAAATATTCATTAAAACAGAAAATTTTTATTTTTATTGAAATTCCAAATAACCGAGCAGATTTTCATGATTTTCCCGTGCTAACTTCCCGACGGTTAGCCTGGGGCCGGCAGAGATTCTCCGCAACTTACCGCTGGTTCCCAGAGGAACCCTTAGAACGAGGCCGCTCATCAGATATTACCAATAGAATTCTGTGGTTGGGCTTCTCCCTTTTCATCTCTGTTGCATGGGTCTCATTTGCAACATTTTTTAATGGTATTTCGGAACGCGGTTGCTATCCATGTTTTGTTTATGGTTTGCTTTGTATTTCCTGGCGTTTGCCTATGATTATTGTGGTGAAACGAAGGGAAATGATGTTACAGTCCTTGCGTTGACGTTCAAGCTGCAGTGTTGAATAGTTGACAGAAACTCTAGCGACCTGCCAACGCTTCTGGTGAGTTTTTATTTTAATTCCGATTATATTGTGGAGTTTATGAATTAATGAATGAATCCTCTATTGGATTTGTTTTAATCACAGTACCTGTTTACTGAGATGAATGTCTATTCGAATTATATCACATTTGACGGAACTAAGTCGATATTTAATGGATCTCTATCAGAGTGTCAAGTTCCTTCAAAGTATAATTGGCCCGGACTGATAAGGACTGTTTCCAATGTGGTTAACAAAAATGTTAGAGCACGATTGACTGTTAGCGATACTTGTTCACGGATCTGTTGTCAGAGCAATACAATCAGAAATACTGGATATCATAATCTTGAGCCTAGAATTTTGCTAATTGTATTTTCTTACTTTAAGAAGAAATATTTGGTTCTGATAATTTCAAAAGTGTGCCGTCATTGGCATAATGTTGCTTGGCATCCTTGTCTTTGGAAAATTTTGGAATTTAGAGGCATGAATTATTATTGTGCATATTTATTTGAATATCATTTCGTAATAATAAGTTGTATAATCGTCTATTTAAAGATAAAAAAATTGATCCAAATATCATATGTACCTTGTTAAAAAGATGTACCATGTTGGAACAATTGACTTTGAATAATGTACAAGATCCTGTTACAATAATTAGACAAATGTGCAGATGTAATACTAGGATTAAGCATTTGAAGATTGAAAATTGTCAAATTAGCTCATCTGAGAAAATCCCTGAATGTGTCTTAAGAAACATTTTATACTGTTGTCATAATTTGGAATCTTTGGATTTGGAAGGAACACAATTTTTATCTCCAAGGTGCCTATTCTGTAAAATTATATCTATTTTAGTTTATAGTTACTCAAGACATATTTTGCCTTAGATTTTTTCAAGAACTGAGTAATCTTCCTAACTTATGCAAGCTGCATTTGGGAAAAAATCAATATCTTTGTGTTGATGATTTGATGACTATTGCCTTAAACTGCCGATCACTCCAAGATATCAAAGTGAATTGTTCATCAAGCAAAGTACTTTCGCTTCAAATTACAGACGAAGATGTCATTTTCTTTTTCAATAATCTATCTAAGATTCTTCAGTGCATTGATTTTGATACTATGGGACTTAGCACACAATCGTTTTCGGTACTGTTATATATTCTCTATAAAATTGTAGTTGGAAGCTATCGGTGAATTAGAAAAATAAAATAATAATCATTTTGTAGGCCATATTAAGCTGCTCACATTTAAAAAAATTACGTTTGTATTCCGCTCATTTTCTGACGGGAAATGTGCTCAGAGAGAATGCTGCGAACTTGAAAAACTTGAAAGAGCTTTGTCTAAGACAAGCATATCAATTGAAGTCAGCAGATTTGATATTCCTTGAGAAGAAAAAGATACTAAACAATTTGACTCTTCTTGATATTTCTGGATGCTGGAAAATCTGTGATAAGGGCCTTAAGAATGTTTTAGACTGTTGCAAAGATAATCTTACTTATCTTGGATTAAAATCTTGCAAATCGATAAGCAATAGCAATTTTATTTTTACCGATTGTACTAAATTACAATATTTGAATATCGCATACTCATTTAAACCTGACGAACATCATATTTTAAAAATTCCCTTGCAGTTACCAAAATTACAGAAATTAGTATTCGCTAACAATAACATTTCAAATGGCACCTTCACAGAGCTTTGCAAAAATATGCCAAATTTAAAATTAATGCATTCTTTATCCGAATTTCATGAAGATGAAATTCCCATATACATGGCTTCTTAATGTATTTAATAAAATGAACATATTACACACTCAATTTATTAAATCTATACACAGAATTCTTGTTCAGCTCATTCGCAAATACAGATTTTACTTCCAGACCAACAAAATGATTTTATGCAATGGCTGAATTACATATAATTGGGCAAATATCTTCAGCAAAGAATTTTGAACAACCTCATCTGTTTTGTAAATGGAGTTTTCATACTGGTAAGTTTAATCTATGTAATTCAAATAGTAGAATATAAGATGAGAAAGAGTTTTCAAAAAGAAATTATTTCAGGTGGCGGTTGGAAACTCATAAGTGGAAATATCGAAGGACAAACACAGGAATGTTGTGACTCCTATACTGAATCCCCTGTATTTGATCATCCATTGGATTTGCATTATACAACACAAACTCTTCAGGGCTCTCCAAAGCTACTTTTACAAATATTTTGTCGAGATAATCATAGTCGTATACTATTCGTTGCCTATGGTGTCAGTACAATACCATTAACACCAGGTTTCCATAGTATCGAATGTTACACATGGAAACCCATAGGTAAAGCCTATATTTATATTTCCAAGTTACGATCTACCTCATATATATCCATTTTTTATGATGATTATAGGTGACTGGCAAGACAGGCTGAGAGACAAATTTTTAGGTATGAGCTTACAATTAAAATCACCAAATGTCTTGGCTAATACCGAAGATCGATTTGAATTACTAACTCAAAGTATGGGTACTATAACAGTGGATATTCACGTACTAACAAAAAACTTTGAGAAGTTTGGTTGCTATTTATAAGGCATCTCATTAAACGAAACATTTTCTGATTTAATTACTAACAATTCTACCGAAGTGACCTTGTGGAAATATAACCCTAAAGTGGGAAAAAGTGTATATAATTAATTGTGAAGACGTTATATGATATTAGGATGTGTTGAACCGATAGTGTGATATACTAATTCTATGCGTCCTGTATAAGCTTTATGATTAAAAGCACGTGTCTTAATATTACTACCTTTACAAAATGGCTACAATTCAAACTAAACTATTAACAGTGAAACTATTGAGCTTACTATTTATAATATTCAGTAATAATCAATTTGCTGATGCAATTGCATTAGATGATATAACAATGCCTTCGTGTCTTGATGAATCTCAATGTAATAATACAACTAATCTTGACAACAATATCAAAAGTACAACAGAAGAAACGAATTTGCCTTCTACTAAATCAACTAGTGGTGTTACAAAAGTAACGTCTACTGAGTTCAGTAACAGTAAAGGTGTAACGGTAACAACAATCTCACCACAAAATGTATCTACGACTACTGCATCTAATACAAATTTAACAAACGCAAACAATAGTCTACTTACCAATTTGGAGATGATGAAATTCAATGTACACAAAACCCATGTGGAATTGTGTGAATGTGACATGACGGTAAATTATCTTAAACCTTAATATGTTATTAAAATTAATTGGACGTAATTTGTAATTAATTATAAATTGCAGACATTCTCATGCGACATTAATTGCTGCTGCGATGTTGACTGTAAGGAATCACAAGTTGCAGTTTTTTCTCGATGTACTGATCATCGGACAAAAATTTATGACAGTCGTTACTGTTACGAGAATAATTTTGTACAGTACAATAATACAGGATATATTCTTGAACGATTAGCAAATAATTTGTTTTGCATTGTGTACGATAATCTCCCTCCAACATATAGCGCAAGTATAACGCTAGTAAGTTGTGATATTATACACCAAAAATTAATTATCTATTTATTTCAATTCTTATTAACTAAATTAAATTAATTGAAGGATGTGCAGACTCATAAAGCATTGAAAGATGTTATTGATGGTCTTGATACTAGTCAATTTAAATGGCAGTCACAGAAAGTACGCATGGCTCCAGAATTCAATAATACACATCCTTATAGACACGGTGATATTCTCTGGAAAGTTGATGATGGCTTCATAAAGCAATTAGGTAATAAGTTCTGTATGTTTTATTGACTAAAATTATTAACAGGTGTATTGTGTATGTAATACAATTTCACATATATAATTTTAGAGGTATTGCAAAGTGGATTCACGAGTCTCTGCTCTTTTAAGAAAACTTTAAGATATCTTGAAGACTGGAACAGTGCATGTATGCAAACTGACTTGACTAATAATAATGTATATCTGTTTCCTAAATCGTTTCACAAATTCACGGTGATTGCATCGCCACTGTTGTTCAACGAGTCTTACATAATTTCTCAAAATCAGGTATGCATAATGCTATTGTGGATTTTATAATATTAGAAGACCTTGTATAGTTAAATACTATATGACATTTGTATTTGATTAATTTTCAGTCATGCCCGAAAAATGTGTGTCTGGCATTGGAAAATCGATATTGCATGGGGTCCTGGGATGCTTGTAATAATACTGAAATATTAACAGGATATTGCGCTAATGGTGCTTGTATAAATATTGTCACGCACGTACGTTATGTAATCATTCATAATGGTACTTTAGGAATACAACGTATACGTGCAGATTTGCAATTGGGTAACGTGTCTGAGAAATTTTATCAACATTATGAAATCAGCTACGAATGGGTTAACTTGAATAAGAACAAATCATTTAAACTTAGTGGTAATCCTGGATATCTCATTGGAAAGCCTATTGTGATTGGGACCTTAATAACGAACAAAACAAATGATATTGATACAAAATATGTTCTTGCTAATCGAAAAAATCATTTTCTTACTATGCCCATCGGACAAAGAAATGGAGAATGTGATCCATCAAATAGATACTTGGTAGGCTTTGGTGAAGATGTTAAGTTAAAATGTTCTGTTACACTGACAACTAATAATTTTACAAAAGAATCTTGTATAGAATTACAAAATAGAACATTAGAGACTATGTTGGAGAGTACCATGTATAATATTACACAGGTTGATCAATATAATATGTTCGTTTCAAAGTTAGGATATATCCATGAGAATGGTACTTCCAGTTGGGCACAAATTCTACTCGATAGAGTTCCCCATAATGTGATAACGGGTCAAGTAGTCAATGATCGAATTCAATGTTCAGGATTGGTGACATCTTTACGTGCTGACATTCTACATGCTCTCTTACCAAAACAAAGGATTATGAATAATCATAAAATATTAGGTATAAGTTTTACATTCTCAGAAGAAGTAGATTTGTCATGGTCCAAATGTGCAGGTAATAATTGTATGGATACTCTTGTCATTGACATTGTTACATACATAGCATTTCATGATGCTTCAAAACCACTAAAATACTACTTTGCCGGAGGACCTAATTTCGATATAACTTTGCCATATGATTTCTTTTATCCTTTTATGAGCGGTACTGCTAATATTAACTCACCATACCCAGTATCAATATTTCTTATCACAAGTATGATTATTAATAGTATGTACCCATAATTCATCATATACAAAAGTTCATGCAGTAAGAATTTAGCACAAAGTTATAAGAAGTATAATATATTTTGTATTGACAATAAAAATTGCAGAAGAATTCTCTTGTCGAAATAATCTTGAAATCCTACCTCATTCCGCTCATCCCTATTGATCTCATAAGTCAAGCGAATGGACAAAAGTCCATTGGAGGTATCAAAAAACAGCATGTAAATGGGAAAGGAAGAACAATCAATTCTTTCAAACAACAATTCACGTTAAATCGGTGCGCGCCGCGATGACCTCACACGTTATCATTTGGTACCAAATATATCCGCAAGCGATAAGAAGCGGCGCTGTTAGTAGCACTAGCACGGATAATGCGTGAACCGTATTGCGCAGTGGGAAACGAGATGAACGCAGTCCGTGATCCGAAGTCGTGAAGGGAGATTGAATTTTCTCTTGTCACTTTAGTCTCGCAAGAGTTTCGTGACATCGGTGCGTAGGAAACGAAGTCGCGGCGGATTCTTAAGTGTCGAGGCTGGTGAAGTGCCGAAAATGTTTTCCGGCTTGACAAGTCAGGTATCCAATTGGATGGGCAAGAAGGCCGAGGATGGCACCGAGTTGCCTGCCGAGGAGAAAATCGTATCGCCCGCTGCCGATGGAGACATCGATCTCGAGAAGAAGGATTCCAGGTATTCTTTAAATTATTTAATACATCAAATCCCTACTTTAATAGATGTTCGTATTGTCGGCTGGTGTTCTTTGACAGTGCAATCATATAGACTGTCAACAATGGCAGGTCTTTGGCTGTCCAGTGAAATCACTGCTGAAATGTCAGATAAGCTTGTTTACATGTTTCTTTATTATATCGATTTTTTTCCTATTGAAATAAACGAATGGGGAACTTTATTTCGTCTTTCTCTTACTCCCTCTCTCTCTCTCTCTCTCTGTTTCATTGGCCTTGTTCAACCAAAATGTCGACTTTCCTAATGATCGATCCAATTCCTTGCGCTTTTTCCACATACAATATTCATCAGGGTTGGGGTCAGACTTTTTGTAAGGTGCACGACAAGATAACGATAAATTATTTACTCCGTCTTGCTTCTATAATCATACTCCATTTTCTATTATCGCAGCTCATTCCATTTGTTCTGCGTCTGGTCGTATCGACTTGCCATTTAAATTGCTGACTTATAATTAATTATGTATAATAATTACCGATCAAAACTCGAATTTAATTGTCAGCATCGAAGTATTCTTTAAAAGTGTTTAATTAATTGTATCTAGTTGCAGTTAGTTAATTATATTAATTTTTGAAAGAGTAGAAAAAATCTTCAGTCATTATTTGAATGAATATTCTTATGGTATAATCGGTCATTCTTTGTTTACTAGAACTTTCCTGACCTAATCGAAACGTTTATAATACACGTGTCTGATAAGAAAGGTGAAATGCAATCCCATGAAAAAATTTTATTTAATATATTAAACTTTATTTAATAGCGTGCAGAGGCATTTCCTTCTTTCCAGTAGTTCGTTGCGTGTGCGACTCTTCTGTTTCTGCCGATGGTCATTAATTCTCACATATATAAGCCGTAGAATTATCAAAATTCGAATTAATCACAAAATCAAATTAAAATATCATCAGCGCCTTCACCAACTTGTTTTAAAAGTACTATTCTCCCGTTAATCTCAAAAATTGAAAATTCCAATCATAGTACAGCAAATCGGGCAACAGACCGTTAAATTCTGATCGATATAAATCCGTTTAATTTGAATTGAAAATATTGGAAGATCGTATGGCAATTTCCAAAAGACCTCTAGAAGTTGAGATAGCTTACAAACCTTTCGGAATTCTATACGGAAGAGATTTTTAATTATTTTTTAAAAATTAGAATCTGCCGTCGAATCTATGGAAGATTTGAAAACACGCCTAAACTAATTAAACGATAAACCGAGCTCGATTTCTGAAATGCACAAAGGGTGTTATTTTTTCATTAATTACATAATATATTAACCTACTTTCTATTGATTTGATACACGACCTAGATTGTCTCGTGAGAAGAATCCATGTTCCTGATAACAATTGAAGAATTTTTTTTTGTTTATTTTTAAGGTAAAAGGATTGTACTGTTGTATTAATCCACTATAGTGGATGAGTGGCTCGTATATTATGTTTGCTGCTTTTTTACCTTATCCAATTGCAATACATTACTGAACCTTAGATTTATCTGCCGTCCTTGGATCAATCCATTTACGGCTACGTAACAGGGTGAACGAAATTCGAAATGGCGAGGGGATTAAATTATTTTCCCCATGAAAGTGGTAAGTGGAAGTATATTAATTTAGAAGCTTCTCTTCGAGAAAACGAAATCAATTTGAGTGGACGAGTTATTATAGCGAAATAACCTGCAAAAATGCCCTATGAAGAGTCTGAGTAATGCGGATGGACTAAAAACAGAGAAAAAGATGGTGGACGAGGTCATTCTTCCGTAGGTAAAAGAATTCCTCAGAGCTGAAATATCCGGGCTTTGAGAATCCCGTGCACGATTCCTCCTGAAAGGAGATTTCGAATAAAAAAAAAACTATACTTAACATCCAGTCAGGTGTTAGAATGGATAGGAAGGTGAAAGAACTTAAAGAGAAGATAGAAGATGGAAGGATAAAGAAAGTCAGAGTGTTTTTCCAGAAGATATTCGAAGGTTCGAAAAGTTACGTCGGAGCGACCCTATTTTCGTCCGTAGACAACAAGATACAAGTATCTCATAAAATCCAGGTGCAGAATTTGAAAAATTGGACGCGAAGGAAGTCTTGACGGTCGGATCCATTTTGTGCTTTCCAAGAGAGAAATATTCGTCAATTTTTTGTAAATACAGCTTATCTTCTACTTTATTTTATCTTAACTTGGATTACCAACTTTGATTTACCATGGACCGCATTAAATATTCTACCTCGCATCCACCGATATTCAATTGGATAAATAACCATCAGCAGTTTTCTCATAATTCGTATTCAACATGTTAACAAAGAATGGTAGGATTAACTAAGAAAAACATTTTTTCCTAATATATAATTAATAAGTTGATTTTCTCTTTCTTTTTTTTTAGAAATTATACAAAATATCTTTTAGTATTTGAGAGCTGCTAATTAAATTATCAAAATGCAAGATAATTATCTTAGCAGAGTGACGATGGACGAATCCTTCCGTTTTAGCCCAACGAAAGGTAGCAGCAAGCTGGAAATGCTGGCTGGAGTGAAGTCCCAGATGACAGGATGGCTCAGTGGCGGAATATCAGGATTGAGCCGTGGTGCAGGTGCTCCCGGTGAGGTCGATCCGACCCAGCAGCCAAATCAACCTGGTGAACTGACTGAGACTCAAGCATCGGGGGATGGTGTTCAGGGTAGCTCACCCGATCATGTAAAAGACGATGATGCTAGCAGGTGGGTTGCAGGGTATGTGCGTTCGGTATTACATGCTACGGTACATAATATAGAACACGTAGTGCGACATGATTGTCACTAACGAGCTTTTGTAATGACGAAAATAATTTCAGCGCGACCGGTGGTGCTGACAGTGGACCTGCCAGCTTGGAAGGTACCCCCACGGATGATAAGGATGGCCAGCAACCCTTTGGAGCAGGTGAGTCTACCATAAGATAGCAGTCGGCCATGAACTTGTGAACTCTCGACCGAGATCCTGAAAATCCAGATAGCCGTGTTCCTCAAAAGGAGTAACAGTGACGCCGAGCTACTTCAGGAATTTCGTTATTGCACGGCAACTATTCGTCCTGGTCCTTTTGAAGCTTCTGAAGTGACTTCTTCTGAAGTCCATTGAATTTTGCTCTGGGGTATGCCCTTTTTTTTTTGTTCCAGGAGAAACATTATTTTTCACGTTTATTCGATATTCCTTTAACCAATGGATGATGGAGGACGTTGAGAAATGGCAGTGCTGAGGGCGGTTCATGAGACTCCTTGGTTATCGATTTCTTTTCTGAATCCGGCGCCGCTTGTTCTCCCGGTTATTATATCGCGTTTCGCAACCTTGGGAACGTAATAACCTATATTGTGTTCGTTAATGTCGCATGCGAGAGATGCGACAAAAATACGTTAGCAGAATTCTAGCCGGAATTGAACTCTGTAGATTTTTACTCCATTAGACTAAATATAAATATATACTAAGTATTGTATGGTAGTCAGTTTCACGCAATGTGAGTCATTATTTGTTATGGTAGAATTTTTTGATATTTATTCATATTTTATAGAGGCTGATAGAGAATAATGAAAGGAGTGTATATTGGGAACCAGTAAGCTTCTTTCTCTGTCTTCTATTTCTTACGCTTCTGCTTCTAGTCTTTGAATTCATTGGATCGGTGCATGGGGACCTGGTGACTGAAAATACTCTCAGCGATCACTACAAAATCTTATTCTGATGGATAGCCAGGATTCGATTGACGTCTATCTCTTTAAAACGTCTGTGCCATTCTAGTTTCCAGGATTCTCTTTCACCTTCCTCTTTTTCTCACTCATACACTCTTCGTTATCAATCTGTCTGTCTTTGCCGTAGCTTTCTTTTCATCCCTTTTTTTTAAACTTCTCTATCTCTTCCAACGACGTTATCTCTTTGATTCTAGCAATGCTTTGTCTCTATTTTGATTCTATGGATACACACTCTCTCTCTCTCTCTCTGCTTATAAACCCATACAGTTACGTTCAGCACTTCCCACCAGTGTCTACAGGCCACTGAATACAGTTAACGAATGAGATTCTCATCTGTATAAATGTCTCATGCTTTGCTTCCAGTAATCCAGTACAGTTGAAAACATGACTGCAGTACCTATTGGAGGAAAAAAAATGAAGTAGAGGGACATTGCGGTCGTTCCAGGATTTTCTGAGATTTAGCAGCTGCCATTGGAGTAACCTGAAAAGCACTGTTGGGACATAAAATTCCATTGCGGACGACCCTTTCATCCTCTCATGAAGTAACAGCCAGAAACGAGACATGCCATCCAATTCCCATGAATTAGGCTCCTATCCAAAGTACAGGGTTGAACTTATTGATTGCTTAAAGGAATGGCCTTTGGTTTTTATACAGTCAGATCGTGGCTTATGCTTTGTGTATGACGTAAGTTGAAAGTATTAGTGACGTCACTGGCTCCGGGAATTACTTGGAATAGATCCTGAGACACTCAGTAGACTAGGATGTCTCGGAGGGGGTGTGAGAGACGGCTTGGTCCAGTGGATGCTGCGAAACTCTGGCTAACCAGATCCAGTCGGCAAGCAGTCGTCCTTCGTGTCGGGGGTTGGTCTATCTACCCCGATCAATACAACCACCACTCCAACTCTTGCTCGGAAATCAACGACTACGTTGTGCATACATACGTATACGTACCTCTTGTTTTCTTGGCTCTTTTAACTTTTGCAACCAGGAGTCATCCTTTTTCTGCAAATCCAAGTGTGTTATTTTCCATCATTTCTATGGTAGTCACTTTTTAGACACAAGTGTATTGTCATTCCCACGTATTTAAATGTAAAAGTAACACACTTGTAAGTGTGTAAAAAGTGACTACCATAGGACGGATAGAGAATAACACACTTGGATTTGCAGTATGGGAAATCACTTGCAATCCTGTACACGGGGGAGGTCTGGTAGGCTGGACTGAAATTGTATCTGTAATGACATTCTATCCACTTGATCTCATCTCGACCTTCTGCTAACAAGGGTAGACACTATTTTCTTCAGCAATTTTCCTTTTAATAATTTTTACAGTCTTGCATTCATATCTACCTGATGCGTTTTGTACCAGAAGCTCTATCAGTCCCGGGCGACTTGTCGACAGAGAAATAAATAGAGGATAACTTGGAAAGGTGATGAAGACGAGTCGGCGTAATTGCTTAGGTGTAAGGTTGCGCTGTTTTAAGGGTTGAAGAAATTTATTTGTCTTTTATAAAATGCAGGACACTGCTATTGACTGTGGGCGCTTTCTAGGTACATTTAACTAACTTGCGTTGAGCTTTGGGGTAAATTTTTAAGGATGATTTTAAGAAGGCGAGCTGTTAAAATTTCTTGGTCGAATTGAATTTCGCAATACCTGCATGAAATACTTCCATTCGGATCTGACAGCAACGCAGGTACACCTTAAAAGGTAATCCCTTGTGACGTCACGTCCGGCAGAAACTTCAAAACAGGTGCAAACTTTCCTCTTTGGTAGCTAGTCGTAGTGGCAGGGATTTTAAAACTTTTTTTCCTCCCCCAAGTTACCTTCAATCTACCACAGAAATTTCTATCCCATGCTCCTGACAGACTGTCTGAGAGTCTTTGCTATTGCTCCGTCTTTCAGAATTTTAATTTTTTGTCAAGATACAGCTTTTTCACGTTCGAATTTTATATACTCTATTCCTCCGAGTCAATCCCCCACAGTAATTACCTTCCCTTGAAGTTTTATTCATTATTTAGCTCGAAATCCGAACTTTAATAGTTCCCTTTGGCAGGAAGCGAGGCGCACAAATTGGACTCTGACTTCGTCTGTCTGACCTACGTTTAAAAGCCCAGCATCACTTTATCTTATAGATCAGACTATCACGTTATCTCCTGATTGTCGCTGCACTTTCCTGGGATCTGTATTTTCTCCTGAGAATAAGTAATAATTGACCCACACGTCATCAGGATGCTGCTACGTACCATGAGACACTCCACTAGCTGGCCTCTGGAGACTAATCCAAATAACGTTCCTGTGTCACAAACCGTGTACTCTTTTAAAGGTGCTGGTTACGAACTCCCAAGTCTTTGGTACTCGAAAAATAAAAATAAAAGATGAATCTTTTTTAATATATGTCTTTCTCTCGTTCTCTACAGTCTCTACAAAGGCGTTGGCCGGTGCCAAGAGTCTTGGTGGATTTTTGTACAGTGCTGTGAACAAGGCTGGAAAATCGGTGGTGGAAGCAAGCGCAAAGATCAAGAAGACCGTCGAAGAGAACGTAAGTATCGTTCATTAAATTTTGTAATCTAGATACCTTGAGTTCATTGTTCTCTGTCTAACTCCTCATTCAATTAACTGATCCCTTTCAAGCTCAAACTTCATTGCGATACCTTACGTCACGCTCAGCAACTTCCTCGGCGCTTCGATTAAGATTCCAGTTTGGAATTTTACTTCTCACAAAGAGTCCAGGGTCACGATTGTCCTATATTTTACCTGCTCCAAGAAGCCCATCGACGATCTACACCTCCCACCAGCAGTGACATGTGGCACATAGAAGCAACTGTATCCTGATAAGCGCTATCGTTCACCAATGCCAATAATCGCGTGACAAGAATTATAAACTTTCTTTGGAAATTCTATGGTCCATCGAATCATATCGTCTTTTTGGCTACTACGAATACACGACACCACGTGCGTGACTTCTTCTTCAAGGAAGTCCTTTTAATCTTATAAGCCCCAGACTCTTTCAGTCTGCGTTTTACGTCGAGCTCTCGATATAGGATCCTCAAATTTACGATCTCCTAGGGAACACCTTGTGTTTCTCTATGTAATATATATATATGACTTATGTATACATGGGCATTAGTATCCCAGGAGGATAGCACATTCGTAGATATCCTCCATCAGGGTTGCCAAGACTTGGATCCCTATCTTGGCCAAGTTACTCGAGCACCGAGTATATCGACTTGGTAGATGCTCAGGTCTGGTTATTTCTCGTTTAACCAAAGTCAATAAGATTTTATTTTTATATAGCTTTGTAGTCAATCATTTATCGTACTTCGCGCGAAAAAACTATTCGGCCAATCGTTTTATTTATATTATATCGATCTCGACCGTTCACTTATTTATGGCATAGGTATTTTAGGCGGTTTCCATGAAAATGTATTACGGACTAAGGCACTCCGCCAGTCGTTCTCTACTTTGTCACAAGTCCAATGAGTCACGGCACGAGCAACTGTTACGAATACAAAGGATTTTAGGATTAAAACTCCCTTAGCCAAGGCTGAATTAGAATCCAGATTTTCCTTCGTTATTCATAAAGCCAGAGTGAGCACTGACTTAATCCTGATTCACTGAGGACAAGCTAGATATTATGTAGATTATAAAATTTTTTTTTTAAATGTCACTCAGCATAGCTCTGTTCACAAATACGGTATTCAAATCAGATTCAATGGAGATCATTTGTATGGGCTTCGAAGAGTCTTTCAAAAACTCACATTTACCTCTCGAATCCAGTGGCTACTTTAATACTTTACAGACTTTGATCCCATCTCATCTCTAACATCTTCCTTCTGTCATTTCTCAGAGTCAACTCCACGTCTGCGACATTAGCCATGTAGTACAAAAGTGAATCGCATCCCTGATTGCACCGTAATGTTGTGACTGATCATTAATATCAACCAGAAAGATCGACAAGGAAACTACCTTAGCTCTCCCTGCAAATTGGTACAGTGGGAATGTGCATGAGATAATCAGACACCACGGTGTCGTCGTACCCCATGTATCTACCCTTAGCACAGCTAGACAATGTGAAAGTGCAAGGGAGACAGTGCCAAGTGTAGTTTGTACAGAGGCACTCTGTATGTATATATATAGCGGATCTCTGGTAGAATAAAGGGGTGGTAGTTCGTATTGATCCGCAAGCCACCACCTTCACACGGCGCACCCCTAACCCAGACCTACGAAGAATCAGGGGTGAACCACACGGTTAAACATTCTATACCCCAAGATTAATACCTGGGAAAGATATTAGAGCTCTGATCGGTCAGTAAGGGTGACTGTATAGGTGGCATATATTGCATAAGTATCTTCTTGATCAATCAATCAGGTAGCCTTGAACTCATTGATACCTTATCGTATTCCGTAGGAGGCTTAAGGTCACGATCCGTTCTTCTTTTTGAACATGAATTTACCTTTGCTTTCTTCTACGAATTATGGATTCCGGTTGATTAACAACTTTTTGATTCTCTTTTTCAGTAGGCCTCCAGTACTCACTGCTGTAAATTATATCTTGCGTCTATTTTTCTCTTCTGTGCTTTCTTCGTTCCATCCCGAGGACAATGAAGTCATCGACATGGATGAAGTAGCTGTTGACTTTATGAAAAAAAGACCCTCTGCCTTTTTATGCTTTGTGCTGTGTCCACGAGACGCGAACTTTGTTAGGATGACTCTTCTTTGGTAATGAAAAACCATTTGAACGTTGATTAGGTATTTCTTTGAACGGAATTTATTTATGATCATTTAGAGTGTCTGACTTGTTCTTTTTTTGTTCCCACGTTGACATTGGCCTAACGTGCTCGAATTTACTTTAGTAACTTTCTTCAGGCTGACTCCAAGGTTTTTAGGTACTTTAGCAAGAATCAATATGAAATCTTGAACTTCGTACGGCCAGCTGTGTTAGCAGAAAATGGACCGAGAGTTAAATTAAATTTAAATGTTAGTCGAGAATTAGGGCGACTTTCTTTATATTCATTTTATTCATTTTATTTATAACGATGGAGCATCCTCTATTCGTGTTACAGGGACGTTTTAGAGTATAGTCTTGTCTACTCTTTATTCACAACGCTTCTTTATTCCTCGCATAATGGAAGACTTTGGACAATCCAAATTAGCAGCTGTCATTCATGGAATCTGAATGAGTATACATTTGTTAGTTAATAATTTAATTAGCGGACGCTTTCAATTTATCCCAACTTCGATTTGCTCATAGCGAACAGACTGCGTGTTCTTAGTCATTGAATTCAGATATTACTTTTTATTGTCTCTCAGGATTAATTGTACTAATCCCATATAACAAATTTTGAACGGATTTGATTTTAACAAAAATTTCAATATATCTTTATCATCATGACAGAACATATGTACCAGACAGCTCTGTAATATTTAATGCTACCATTCATGGCATATATACAATATCTTCATTTACTCAATAACTATTTCTGCCATGGAAAATGCACTGGCAATTATAGTAAATTAAATTATTCAACACTATAACTAATTTATTCAATTATAGTCAGAACAAGGCATTTATTGTCTCTCGTTTGAGCAATCAAACAATCAGAACGCAAACGTTACATTAAAAGGTTGTTACGTCCATCGAGCTATACCGAGTGTAAAATCTGTAAGCAAAAATAACAGTAATGAGAATTTGTAGTCGTACGTAAGAAACTCGAGGAGTTTCTGCATGGAGCAGGTATTTATTACTTTACTAACAATAAGAAACTTCGTGCCAAGACTCACTGAACTCAAGTTCCCATTACCTCTCATCCACCGAACTCACCTCCCACGTAATGTCTGCATGTTTATAAACGCCCAAGCACACAGACCTGTTTCATATTTATTGTCCGTTTCAGAACATTTATTGCACCATTCGAGAAACTTCCACCATTATATATCCTACACGTGCTGCCATCTCTTGGTTGATATATGAATCCAATTGAAGATTTCCTATAAATATAATATTCATTGTCTATACAAAGCACGTGTATATTAACGTGTATATTTTCTGCTCTAACAATTATGTATAAATTTTCTTACTTTTCTTCGTATGTCTAACATGGACGTGCAGGTCAGCAATCAGGTAATGTCTTCGCTATCGCCACAAGTATTGTCAGTAGTAGCTTGAGGTTCACCAATGTAAATTGAACGCTGGTTCGAACCCGTCGCTCTCTTTAGCTTTCGCCTTAAGTTTCTAATCCGCGTGTATCTCTCGCTTTAGAATAACCAAGTAGTTGCATTAGCATGATAAATCAAAGGTTATGCCCATAGACGTATAAATTATAAAGAAAAAACGAATCTACTGATAAATCATCGTGAAGATACCTTTAAGGCTGACGCATATGAATATATTCCTGCCAATTAATGCCTCGCGCCTCTTGCCACTTATCCACCCACACTTCGTCCTGCCGTCCGAAGTTAAAGGTGCAGAGACTAAGGGATCCTCCAAGGAGCCCAAAAGAAAATTCCTGGCACGCGGTACCAACTGAGAAGTGAAGGGGGAGTGCGAAATAATGGGGATGATCCAGTTTTATCGCAGACACGAGAGAAGAGGGAATAAAGTTTTCGCAGTGTCAGCCTTGCTCCTACTGGATGCTGCGAAATTAGTTTAGTTTGAGATACGACATGCGCATAAGGAGTTTCAAGTTATTTTTCAGTTACTTACATACATCCTCAAGATGTCATTTTCACCAGTCTCCCTCCTCTGACCTCAGTGGATCGATATAACGTTTTCCCACGAGAAGGACATCTCTTAGTTTTATCAGGATCCTCGTTTACTCTCCAGGATCCCACTTGGGGATAAGAGGGATAAGAATTTTTCTATCAGTGTCTCGCAACTGTCGCCACCTGTCGTTATAATCGAGAACCAATCTGGTCCCACTTTCTTTCACTATTTCTCCAACTGGATACGAGAATTGGCTATGCCTGTACCAGCTGTGTTCTCCAATTATCTTCTTCACACCTTGGCACTCTCCAGCATCCAGTATCTATATAGATCTTGAGACTCAGACGCGACCTTAGAGTTTCTGGTTACCTTCAACCATCTTAGCAGTCCGTATTTATTGATTGACCTGCAAAAAAAAAATTGGGAGCACAGATGAAAAAAGAATAAGGAAAATGGAAGATGGGATACTACAAGTGGAATTTTTACCAATCAAAATTCATTATACGCGGAATTGGGTCTCTTGAATGTTTTACAGCAATCTTCGCCCTTGACGCGATTATCCCATTTCCAAGGCAATCTTCAGGGATAATATGACATAGCGAGACTATCTACCCTGTCAGCCTCCTTTAATAGCTATCTCATGTCTCGGTTAGTTTCACCCTTTCTATTATCTTGACCGTACCTCCATTCATGATATTATACGTGAAATACATCTATCCATGGGGGTTGCTACCGCACCTTGTAATCTCGACCCCATGATTGTCATAAAAGAAAAGAAGCACCCTTCCCCTATTTCTGTCTCTTAGATATGTAGGGTTAGGGTGGCTTTAACCCTTTCAGACACTGTGCCATTAGATTTCACTGTTGAATCAAGGATTGGCATATATGTATATATAAGCCTTATTTCCTTTGATCTTTGAAAACTTGAGCGATTCCTTTGTACGCGAAAGGTCGAAGGTCAAGTTGCTTTCATCTTTTTTTTTTAAGACGTGAAAATCTCGCACAGTCCATATATTCTATTTTCCTCGTTAAGAATGTTTTTTTTTTTGAAATATTTTTCTGTTTCCTTGCATTTCAAATTTGTACGATTTCACTTTGTTTTTCTTCCGGCAAGTTTTCTAATTGAGGTAAAGCACGCTTTCGAACGTTACATTGTGCAGAGGGTGGATTTTGTTGTTGCTGCGAACAAGAGGGAGACGTGTAAAAGTTATCTTGAAAATTTTTCATGCTTTTATTCTCGATAATAAAATTCTGTACTTCTTTACTTTTCTTTTGTTACTCAACCTGGTTATAGGTTTAACCGTCATTGCAAATAGACTTTGCGTGACGAAGGGATATCACCAGGGTATGTCAGCTACGTAGCAGTACGTGTTGTCAAGTAGTTCGCATATTATGCGTTAAATGAGTTCGTATCGATAAAAAAAAATGGTCGACCTGGTTCTTATATTAAATAATTTATTGTTACGCGTTCTCGATTTTTACAGTCATTCAGACTTAGATACACCATTTAGAATTAACAGCTGTTCCTTGTGGACATTTAGAAATCCGGTGGATCAATGTTTTTCATGCGTTAACAATTTTTTTCCTTTTACACTGATTTATTTTATTAGTACGAAATATCTTCTATTTTGAGCGTAAAATTATTAAATAAATTTCTAATTCAAATATTTTCCGCCTCGCGAAGGAGTCAGGCTTGACAATTGCGGGGATCAATAAGTCGCGAACGGTGAGCTTAATATCCGGACACCCTGTCCCTTGTGAACGTCGACCCGACGCGATATTTGCATTTGAAAAGTTTTCCGGGTTCCATACTACATAAATAGGTATAGCCGCAGCGGAAGTCGTCGTCCAGTAAAAAGCCGAGGATGAAACCAGCGCGAGGATCGATCCTGTCTCGCGAATAACTTTTTGACAAATTTACAAAGACATCGGGTAGAACAATGCTAAAGCTTTTGGAAGCCGGCTCATTATTATTTGCGAAACAAAAAGGCTTCTCTGTCGGTGGCATGACGAGGGAACTTCATTTTAATAACTGATTTCTTTCTTTCTTCTCCTCTGCTTATACCTCATTTAGCACTTCAATGATACTCCGTGCTTATCTACGGCATTTTTATATCGCCTAGTCTTAGCGTTCATATTTGTACAGTGAAAAGTCAGAGTTACGTTTTTATTTTCCACAATTCCTAGAAAGGGTATTAACGCATGTATTAACCGTTTCCTAACGGTTGCCATAGAAACCATATTTAGTTACATTCAAAATTCCCGGGTCTGGTATCGACCGAGCATTTCGAGCTGATATAAAAGCAGGTACAAAACATAGTCAAGTATTACAGTTTTTATTCGACGTCGCGTCACTAGACAAAACTACCTCCTATTCCAGGAGGGGTCCGGATTAAGTACCTAACCTCGCTTTTGACCGTTTGACAGGCTTAGTCTGTTTGTTGGCTCAGCCATGAGAACTCACCGTCTGTCTCGTTGTACGTGGGTCTTGCGGGAAGTACGTGCGGAAATATTTGTACGTAAAAGTTTCCGTGTCGGTTTGTCGCGTCTACGTACTCGAAAACATTTCGAGTATTCGTATTGGTGTTCAGTGGGAAGAAACATGTGGTGAGTGGAATTTGCTAGTATGCCGAGATTTCGTCGTGTCTCTGTTCTTCGTTTTTCTTGCTGTGTTAGGCGTCTCGTTCATTTCTTCCTTCTTTCTCGTTCTCTGCGACACTCACCCTGTCTCGGATACGTCAGCCACCCTTCAGGCCGTATATCCCCCGTACCCACTCTTAATCTGGACGGCTGTTACCGACTGTTGTAGGTGGTGGGTGGAAAATTGTCGGGGTAGGGAGGTTACTCATGACGTCATCACCATCATCTGGGTCAGGACAGGCTCTGACCTACATATCTTTCACGTGCAAACGTACGCAAGTTTCTCTCCTGGGCTCAGCCGAACCTTTAAATTATGCCCTTTCATTTACTACAGGGTCAAAGACTTGAAATTAACCCCCTGACAATTTTAAGTTATCCTGTCAGTTTATTTTTGACTCGAATTAGAATCGCTATTGAATAGAGGACTTTGTGCTAGCATCGTTCAGAATTTGTGATGTAGTCTAATTGGGCTAGTTTTTTAGAATCATTTTTTTCTCTCCTAAACGTACTGCTCTTCAGGCAAGGATACCCCTGAACTATTCAGAAGCTATCGAAAACCGCTGAGATAAGTTTCGACACCTGGCATTTTCGTTTCCTCGTAGAAGGTTCTGGAGTCGGTTACGGTGTCAATTAATTTCTGTTAAAAACAGCACAGAATTCCCAATCGCCCTCGTAATCGCTTAACTTTTCATGCTCTGAAAATCAACGAATCGGGTGATCACGCGGAAATTCATGATTTGACATATGCACCTTGTGTTATCAGAAAATTCGCATTGACAATCTGTCACCCCTAATCGCATATCGCGTCATGTAATACTGTCAATGTTACTAGGGCTTTTTACCGTGCTTTTCATTATAACTCCGCACATTTGTATACTTCGCTTACTCGCCTAGTCAATTTGCTAATTGTTTGGTTAGTCACTCAGTCAAATACATGCAATTTATATGGACAACAAAAAATATAAATATCACTAAAACTCGTTTGACGCTTTTCGTACACTTTTCTTAATTATTCTTTTAATCAATCCAGTTGCGCATTACGACGTCGGGAGAATGATTTACCCGCGACCTTGCTGACTCGCGACATTTTTAATTACACTAAATTTGTAATATTTCCAGCTACTGCTGGAAGTGAGCGTACGTCAGGTAAGTCCATTCACTTCCACCTCATTTTCATACGCCGTATAACTTAACCTAACACGGTCGGACTTTTAATATCAGTGAAAGAACATTTCTTTCCCCGGATAAAAACTTTCATCCCCCCCGTTAAAGCTTTACAGGTTTTCTACCATATGACAACACTCATAATTAGTTAAATCAATCTCGGTACACGAAGCATACAAATTCACAGATATGCAAGCCATGTACGAAAAATCCAATATGGCTGACAGCCATATGTTGTATATACGTATATGCACAGTAAGGCTTTGTAGGTGTATGACGCAATATCCAAAGAATTTAATGTGATTCCTAGCACATATTATGTGAGGTGGTTGCTTGCGGTAACAATATCTTGTGTTCCCTATGTGTGTGTGTGTGTATATATATATATGTATTTTAACGGAACCCTGACTGGTATAGAAATTCAAATTTCATCAATTTTATCTACGTAACATATACTCTGCTTTGTTCTCTTGTTCCGTTCTTATTTATTGTGGCTCGTGACAATTTGTCATTTTTTATTGCTCAAGAGCGACTTCTTATTCTCGAATACGAAAGGGAAGGCCTGGATCGGCTCTTCGTGACGTTTGGCTGCCGTTATCGGCTGCTTTTCAAAAGTGGGTTAAACTAGGCTAAGGAAATGTTAACCAATCGATGGACGGCCGACGTAGATTTCTCGGTGCCAGATCGTCGCGACGCTTATTACGTTTCACGGCTCCTTCTTGCGCAATCCGTAACACAAGGGCAAAGGCCCTTAGTTCTCGCGTGCACGCTGTTTTCTTTTTTTGTTAGGGGTAACAAAAAGTAGATGGTGGATGGGAAATGGGGGTTGGATACTTGTAATATAACGGTGTCGGATATTACGTCAGAGTAGTTGGGCATTCTTTGGCACTTGCTTCTACGATCAATAGGCTCGGCCTCCCACGGAGGTCATGGCTATGCAATCACTGTTGCTGCTCCTGCAATTCCTCGGCTGAATAGAATTATTTCAAGGGGTGCGAATTCGTTCGCTCCCTGTCAACGTTTATTCTATTTCGAGGAGAGGCTTGTTTCGTTCCTTTAACCGAAGCGTCACGCCACTACGTTTTAAAAACGCGCCAGCTGACGGGTTTGCTTTTTTCCCCATTTAATTCTTTTTTTTTTAATTTCTCATCCCCTCGTAATATATTTTATTTATTTATTTTTTTCGGATTTTTCATTTATACTCTTCTTTTTAATTTCATTACTGGTAGACACTCGACTTACAACTCGAAATCACGGCGTTAATTTGAAAAGCGCGCGACTTTTGAAAACGGGAATTGTCATACTCGTACTTCAAAAAGTTTAATTCACGATTATACGTTATTCTCGTGGACGAACGTCGAAATTATTTGTATTCCTGGCACGTAGATGTCGTTTTACTCATGACTTGAATTTTCCGCATTTTTTTCCAGCATCACGTTTACCCGCCCTCCCCCTTTGTCAAGTCACTGTCCTGCCGGAATTTTAATTACTTTTAATTGCCACTTTTGCTAACCATGCTGATCACCTGTCACGTATTGCATTACAATTCGAGGGAATGTTCAATCGATTAGGTTAGCACGGTAATTCTCAAGTTCTCCGTCGGTAATTCAGGTAACGATAATCGCAATAGCTGTATTTGTATTTGAATTTAATCACGTTGATCGTATTGCAAGTTTTATTTAACCTCAGCAGTCATTTGATCTTTGTGCTATCATGGTAAGACCAAGCCATCGCGTGATACTGTCATTCCTGTACAGTCAACGAAAAATCTGAAGTATTATGTATTTCTTTTTTACCCCGTTACGCAATCGAATTATTGGATCTGGCATTGCCCCCAGGGACCGAGATTTTCCGGTTTCCAGCTCAGAGACTCGTAGCAACTTCGCGCGAAGATATTAGCCCTAAATCAAACAGCCAGACGAATATACCGTAAAAAAGGAAGAAAACCAGGAAAATAAACGTTCACGGCGTAAAAAGTCGAAAGAAATAAGAGTGGGGAAAATATAATATACGATCGTCGCCCATAGATTTCAGATTTTAAGTCTTGATCGGTCGTTTTGGGAAGAATTTTTGTCACGGACCTTTCACGTTGAACTTCCGAAATTTATTTCCATTTTTTTTGAAGACCATCATAACCTCACTTTTATCGGTCGTTAACTGATCAATGGATATCAAGAAAGCAACCAGCGAGGTTATTCACTTGATACAAAATTTGGTCATATCGTTAAAAAAAAAAATGAAAGTGAAGAACTTTCGAATTTCGTTACTCCATTGTGTCTCTCGATTTCCGTTAATAAAATTTCAACAACGGACTCGTCCAAATTTCAAGTGTCCTCGTGGAATTCATTGATAAAGGTAGTGTCGTTCTCTATCAATAAATTCGTATGAGGCTCTTTTTTCATTTTACCGCAAACTTTGGTCATAACCTAACAAACCACTCGGTTTCCCGACATCGTTATACATAAACCTTTTATGTGCGATTTCTCCAAAAGGAACGCGCCGTAAAGGACGCTTAAGTGTCAATCAATATGACTCACCCTGTATATATAGCGATTACGCTATTCTCCCTTTATTCCGAGTTACACGAGCGCCTGTGTCCCAGCTCTCGTATGTATTTAGGCTTCGATTGCGTTCAAACGAAAAAGTCTGGTATGAAGAAAAAGCGGTCGGATTTATTTGGACTAACCGATCACGTGTAATCCCAAAAGTACGTAAATTGACGGAAAAAAGATGTGTAGTACGAAAAAAAAAGTATCCATTATATATTTTTCAATTTCTTGACGAACCAGACAAAAGTGAGGTTACGTTCTACAATTTAGTTTATCGTACAGCTTACTCGTCGAATATACATAATATTCTGATTAAGGGGCATCCCCCGTAAAATAACAGTTGTTAGATTTCTGTGTAATCAAATTTAATTCATCTGACAAATTTGCGTTGTCCAATTTCAGTATCATTGGTCGATTGCCGTGATCGGATAGTCATATGATTGGTATTATAAAATAGGATCCTTTTCAAGCCATGGACATAGTTGCCATGGCCACCGGAATTCACGAACAATCATTCAGTCGGACAAGGTTGGGTCTCTGAATTGTCTGACTGATAGAACATGGGTAACTTCACCCGCAGAGATGATTGTTTCAAGGGTCTAATTAGTCAAGGGTCTGTTTTAAACTTTAGGGTACCGTCGAAGTAATCGATAACCTAGTGTCCCTTCGACGTGTTGACACATCATTGACCCCCTTTTCGGATGGTGACCTAGCTAATCACTTTTCCCTTACTTCACCCCACCTTAGACCAAGAACTTTCCCCGACTTCCTTCTCATCTTGAGGGGGAGAATCGACCTTGTAACTTTTTTTTGGAATTGTGGTTCGTCACTTGTCAGACCTCTTTTATGACCTTTGATTAATTGCATTGCAGAGTCTTCTGGGCGAATTCAACAAGGAGCAAGAAGCCTTTATTGCCGGCAAGCAGAATGAGAAGGGCGAAGCAGTAGCACCCTGGGTAGGAGCACCCAACGAGGATGCACTACGTGAAGAGTGCTTAGCTCTATCGACTGTAAGTGAAAATCTTTGTTTTTAAAATCTACCATAGTTTTGTCATTTAAAAAAAGAATCTTTTGTATAAGTATATACATCATAATATACTTGACAGGATCGACGCAACTTCGTGAGGGCACCACCACCAGGAGTCGAGTTTGCCTGGAATTTCGAAGCTGCCCAACCAGTGGCACAAGCTACCCTTGCCTTAGACCCCAACCTGGAGACCATGAGGTTCGAACTGGTACCCAAAGTGTAAGTGTCTGTTGAAACATACGAAATATGGTTTAATTATTTTCTAGTTTTATTTATCTTTTTTTTTTTCTTATATTATTGAACAGCATATCCGAGGAGAATTTCTGGCGCAATTACTTCTACCGGGTGTCTCTACTTCGTCAGAGTCACGAATTAAATGCCATGGCTAGTCAAGCGGAAAGCAATCCTAATCAAGCACTTATATCAACTGGTAGCATGGACCATACTCAAGGTAATTATTTCTTATCTGTTACCAGTCCCATGGCTCTTCACAAGTATGCGTAATATTTTCAAATTACAAACGTAGATATTGAATGAACGTATTCTTGAATGGCAATCAAGCATAAGAGACATCGTGTGACAACCACGTGTCATTGCACTATTTTAATTTGAGGGATTAGAACGCTAAATGGGCAAGTAGACGTTTGCACGTGTCTTTATAGTCGTAGCTTATTAAATCACTATATTATTTCTTTCTATGTTTCTACGATCACGCACCCGGAGCCCCAGTCACTACTTTGCCACCGGGTATTGATCATCCTGTTAATTTTTTATTAAATTGGTGTCACGCGCCGACTGAACAGCCGAGTGACCATTATCAGTCCACCTCAAAAAAGGCTAAAGTATTTCACGTGGGATGCATTTCGCGCGTTGACTATTTTCTATTCACGATAACTCGTTGAATAGCATCGAAAAAGCCAATTGAGTCTCTTATATACACGTACAGTAACAGGGCCAGCTGATACGGCATTCTTTTTCACGAGGTCAAATAAATACCCGATGATCCCTCTGTGTTCTCAGGGAGAGACTTAACGGATAAAGTCAATAAGAGTTTCGTGATCTGCTGTCAAACTAGTTCCCTACCCCTGGGAATTGGCAATCGAACGTATCGTGACTCGCAATCCAGAACAGCCCTGAGCTGAATTAACAGCTTTACCGATAAGCTGCCTCGTCTCGCCCTGTGCCTCCAACAAGCTGTAAATGCAAAAAAATTTAATGCTTTCCCTTTCGTTCGCCCCCTCAAACCCACCCACAAAATCTAACGTCATCCCTGATAACATCACGAATTTCTTATCCGTTATTCACGAATATTGTTTGTAGAATATCCGCAGAGTCCTCAGTCTCTTAGTTCGTTCATTAGCCAATCCCCTTTAGTTAGCCATGAGTGTTGTGTTGCGAACAGTTCAATCAAGTGCCGGGCAAGGAACGAGCGGCGCTGCCGTCGCAACTACCAGAGACAATGCACCGGCGGATTCACCGAGTCACGAGTTCGTATCAGATAGCATGAGGGCTTCGGACACGGATATTCAGGAGGTCCGTGAGGGCATGAAAAAGTTGGGAATGCAGCCGCCTAAAGGTTAGTATTTATGGGCACAGGGACATTGTCTGTCGTCAGCAATGATCCCTCGAGTAGATTGACTGTCAGACCTAAATCCATTTGATCAGTGCCTTAACGAACAATGGTTCTGTGTCCCTCTAGTGGCGTAATTTACCAATATCATCCCCTACATATAATGCTTGACTGCAATATTTATCTACTGTATTACAAGAGATCGCTTTTGGTACACATGAAATTTGTAAGTTACGTCATGGTCAAGATAGTCGTAGTACATTTTCAGATTTACAGTATGTCAGAGAGGATCCCTTGGTATCTTCATATGCTTCGTGAGTATGACTCTAGATCTTCGACTCAGCCTGTTCCCTGAAGCATTGTTAACGAGACGTTAGCACCGATAGACTGTTGATAAACGTCACAGTAGTGAAAATTTATAAAATCAATAATTCAGTATAGACCTAGACGTTTTCTGTGTGCTTCCTTTAATTGTTACGTAAGTCGAGTCCGTGAAGTATGTATGTAAATAACAACAAAAATGCTTCTCAATTACGTTATGGCATATCTAAATGAAAGATTTTCATTCTATTTTGTCAACAGCCTAAGAAGAGGAGAATCCCATATGACATTATCCAAGCCACACCCCATCGCCTCTGATCCATAACCCCCCCCCCCCCCCCC